TTCCAGAAAATCCCAAGAAGAGGAAAGGACCGAAATCATGACCATTGGGAAGTTGACCTTGACAAGCTTGTGTTGAGAAGAGTTCACCACAGAAGTCGAAAATGTGTTTTTGCAGCATCATCACTGCCATTGCCGATGCCTGAGGATCAGCTGGTAGGTATTCAGAGGACGTACTACGTCGATGCTGTTGATGAAAGGCCAGTCGATGAGATTCCAAGGGACCAGTTCGAGGTCCATGTCAGCGAGTTCGGAACCCAGACCGCGCCATTGAGGCGTCATTGGAAAGGGTTTACCGAATTGCCAATCAAACAGCTCTACATGTATGATCATCAAGGTAATGCCATTGCGAGCTTATCAGATCTAGGTAAAGAGTTGTGGGAAAAGGTGAAAGACCCCTTGTCAAGATGTTCAGATGATGAGGTTGAAAAGTTCTTGTCATCAGTTCAAGAGGGGGTACTTGAGTATAGCAGGAAGGTTCCAAAGGAAACCGAGGAGTCCAAGTTCGACGCGAAGGCCGATTCGTGCAGAGTATGGTTTGGAGGTAGATGGATTGTACTCCGAAAGCCATCAAGAGCGACTTCAGATATAGGTGAAGGTCCATTAGATGTGGATGCTACGTTCGAGGGAATGCACACAGAGGTCATTGTCTTAGAGAAGCACAGGACAGGTCAGGTCGTGGATAAAGATGAAGCGCAAGAGTATTGCAAGATGCATGGTATCCGAATCATCTCAACTCGATGGGTAGTAGTAAATAAGCATGATGCTATCAAAGGAGACATCGTTCGATCGAGACTTGTTGTCCGTGATTTCGCCACAGGTCCGTCAGCAGCCGAGTTGGGCGTTTCGAGCCCTACAGCGTCATCAGAGGCGTTGAAGGTTGTGTTGTCTTATCTTGCTCAGAAGTCAAGTTTTCGAAAAAAATCAAAGAGAGGAGGAGTTGGAAAGACAGCCTGGGTTTTAGATGTAAGTATAGCATTCTTGCATGCCCCCGTGATTCACCCAGCGGTCGTTTCGTTGCCGACTGGGATGGAAGATGAAGACGGAGAGCCTTTGTTCGTCATTCTTGAGAAAGCGATGAATGGACTTCGTTCTGCAGGAATGTCATGGTATCGTCACCTAGCCGATTTGTTAGATCAAGAAGGTTTGACAGCATGTGTGACGGAAAAGACAATCTTCGCCGGAAGATACCGAAAAGGAGTTGCAGAGACGGAGGAGGAGAATCACTTGATCGTTTTGATGTACGTTGATGATTTGTTGGTTGTCGGAGACGATCGGAATATTCAGAAGCTCGTTGATGAGTTATCAAAGAAGCTTAGACTGAAAGTCACCGGAAAGCTTGAAGAAGACAGAATTCGTTTTCTGGGAAAGGTGATCGAAAAGGAAGAAGATGGAACGATTGCCTTGTACATGGAGAAAGAGTACTATGAAGGCATGATGAACATGTAGCCAGGAGGAAAGGAAAGTCAAGCGACCCCCAATTTATTTCAACTTTATGATCGTGATCGAGAAGAAGATCGGAAATCGTTGTCAGTCACCCGAGGCAGCAGCAACCTTTCGAACCGCACTAGGTAAGCTAGGTTGGGTAGCTCAGTCGAGACCTGATCTTTGTTGGTTGTGTTCGATGCTTGCCCGAGGTCAATCTCAGCCGCTAGCTGTACACGAGACTGCGATGCGTGCGAGTATCCGCTACATCCGATCAGTAGCCGATCGAAAGTTGAAGTTCAGAAGCTATGAGTACTCAGTACCACCAAGGATTACGACCTATGTGGATGCCAGTTGGGCAGCCGAAAAGTCCACAAACCGAAAGAGTACTTCAGGAGCAGCCATCTTCTTTAGTGACTGTTGTGTCAAAGCATTCAGTAGGTTGCAGCAGAGTGTAGCCTGTAGTTCAGCCGAGGCAGAGCTATATGCTTTGTTCGAAGGAGCGAAAGAGACTATAGGTATTCAACATGCCGTGGCACATGTCTATGGATGTCAAGCTGAGGAATTGCCCATTCCAGGTTTGCTTACGGATTCGATGGCAGCCCGAAATGTCACAGAGATGTCAGGGTTGTTGAGAAGATTGAGACACATAGACATTCGGATCTGTTTTTTGCAAGATGCAGTCTACAAGGGAGTGATTTCCATCAGCTTTGTCCGAGGTACCGAGAATTGTGCCGACCTGATGACCAAGGCATTGTCGAGAGCTGTGACTTTACAACATATGGAGACGATCGGAGTTGTCAGAGCATTTCTCATTTCATTTGAAGTGCCGTATGACTGGATCGGGAGATGGTTGTGGGTTATGGATAAGGTCACATGTACCGAAATCCTGATTGTTGAGTTTTGCACATCACCGGAGTCCGAGATGAAAGAAGTCGGAAGCCGTACGGAAGGTGTTGAAGTCTTGACTGTCACTGAGGCGGATGACGGAACCCGATCGGACACGATCGAGTCAGTTCGGGAGCAGATGATGAGCCATCGGAAGAGAGGAAAGCTTGTTGTCTTGTGGTCGTCAATTCCGTGTACAGGAGGGTGTCCGTTTCAGTATATTTGCATCCAGAAGTTTGGTCAGGACTATATGGGTCATCTTCGAGAGTTGTACCAGATTCAGAAGAAGCTATGGAAGGGTTTCTTACGGATGTCGGAAGTAGCCGATTTCGTAGCGATTGAATGGCCGAAGAGATGTGCTTATTGGGGATGGAATCAGACTAGAGATTTTCTGAGGAAACGAAAGACATTTTCAACGTTTGTGGATGCTTGTTCAGTCAAGTTGAACCAGAAGGGTCAGTTGATCAGAAAGACCTGGAGGATTGAGACAGATAGTACTCGGTTGTTAGAAAGCCTGAAAGTTTGCGTTTGTGATGGTCGTCATGATCATTTGCCGTCCAAGGAAGTCAATTGGAAGGAAACGCAACACTACCCCAGGAGATTTTGCGAGCTAATCCTTAAAGGATTTAAAGCCGAATTAGAGTCATAATAGCCAAGTAAGTCTTGCACGTTGTCTGAGCCGAATGGCACGTTTTTGCGAGCACTTTCGATTGCACATTTCGAAAGAGTCTTGGTTTTTGCAGACTGTGAGGTACAGCTTTTCTTGGAATGAAGCTTATACCATCCGAGGTATGATGCCGGATGCGGAAACGGCGCTTGCGATGCTGAGCCTGGAAGCAGCGACCGCTTTGGTCTTTGCAGCTGGTTTTCTTTTGGGACGCCTGCTGACCTGCTGCTGCCTGCGGTGTCGGAAGCATGCTGAGCCTGAGAGCCAAGTGACTTTTAAAGTCGATATGCCGAAGAGCTATCCAGTTCCAAAAGGCAATGAGCAATGCTCAAAAGTGTATTTTTCAGTGAGTGGGAGCAAGGTTCATTTGAATCCAACTTGCTCGGGCATGCACGTAGCTATGTCGAAAGATATTTGTGCCAAATGTCTGTCCTCATTGAAGAAGAATAAGAAGGCTTAAAGCCAGCCAGTTTGTTTCGAGCTTTGTGTCCAAGAGGGGGTGAAGAAATTCCATGTCGGGATGTCCACCTCGCTCGATGCTTGCAGTTTGCGACGCATAAATTTCGTTTAGTGAAAGATTTGGAACCTGGCGGTAGTACAACATTTTGTTTCTCAATTGTTTGAAAGCGACTTGTAGCGTAGTCGGAAGTTTTGAAAGAGTTCTTTGTATGTGGAGATACTTTAAGAGACTTTTAATATGTTTTTCGTGTGTTCTTTGTATAGTTTAGTGCTACGGGATATGTTTTGGCTCAAGGCCAATTCGTTTGGCTAGTGTGAGAAAAGGGTGCGAGTGTCTGAGAGCAGCTTGTGCAGCGTTTGAAGTGTTCGGAAGTGTGAGGGAAAGGTTTCGTACTGTACCGGACGAGTGTGAGAGCCTGTTGTGAGCTAAAGATCCAGGGGAGGTAGGTAGTCTACCGTTTAAGGTTGCTACCCGATCTTTTTCGTTTACCCTTTCCTTTGCCCTTTGAAGGTATGAAGGGTCTGCATTCTGAGGTCGAGGTGGTGAAAAACCAGATCCACCCTGATTCCAGTCCCAATTCGGTGGAAGTCCACAGGTCACACCAGGTCCCGTCCAGACCATCTTGTCCAGAAACAAAACTGGGTGCCTGTTGACTCTGTCCATCACCTGAGGAACTGAGAAGGCGCACCACCACTTCTGCCTGACCACCCATCTCCTTTTTGACAATGCATGAGGTGGTCCAGTGCTCGAAACAGGTGCATTCGCAAAGAAGGAACCAAAGAAGGCCAGGTGACCCTCTGCACTCGGACTCATGGGAACATTTGAAGTCCAGAGCTCACTCCAGTCCAAAAGTGTGTCGGGCAGACTTTGGTGAAATTCCGCCAATTGTGCCAGCAATGCGATGGCTCGACCAAGAGTCAGACCCTGCACCAGGTCTTCCAGCTGAGATCAAGTTGAGTCGTTCCTGGATTTGCTCATCTGGGCGGTTTGCTTGGAAAATTTTTCCAGCTTGAGGATTGGATGTCAGGCCGACCTCTGAGAACATGGCAAAATTCAATGTGAAACGTGGCCGGGACGTGGACAAATTGCATGGGGAAACAGCCTTCTTTTCATGTGTCTCAGACCGTCGGGACAATTGGAGATTTTACAGTCCAAAGATCGATGAATTTGTGACGAAGATGACATGAAATCCTGGGCATGGATAAATTGCTACGAAGGCAAGAGAACTTGGACTTATCCCATTCAACGTATATTTTGCTGGATGTCTGTGCAACTTCGCAAAAGCACAGTCACCGGTCGCAACATTTTGGAAAAATCGAAAAGAGGCAGTCAAAAGTTGGCAATGGAAGGGCATTCCTTCATGAATTGGAGTTGTGTGTGTTTGCTTCTTGCGGGAGGGTGGATTTGTTCTGCCTCAGTTTTTCCCGATGTCAGGCAACATCTGATGGACAAATGCGAAATTATTGAAACACTGGAGCGGTAAATTGTGTTAAGAATTAAACTTCGCAGGTTTGCTTTGTTTTGCAAAGTCGGCATAATACACCACATGATCCGTGTGCTCTTGATTTTCACCCGATTTGACTGTTTAAGGGTTATAAGTTGTGGGTCAGCCAGCTTTAATAAAAGGCGGACAACACCAGTGAAATCACAGGATGGGAGATGATTTGCGATGAACTCGCTCCGGCCATGGAACTTGTTTGGAAAGACGATGTATGCGGCGCATGCCCAAGGTGCAATAGTTGTGGAAAAACATGTTTGTCGCTGCTTTCGGTGGGTTTTCAACAACTGCAAGGTGTGCGTCGATGTCTGTGTTGTGCTTGACACGCGGTTGTGTTCAACCCCTACAAAATTCTTGTTTTTGTTAATGTCTGATAAACTCTTGAACTCCACGACTACTGCCCACGACGCCAGGTGCTGGCAGCAACTTGGTGCTTCAACTCAGCAAAGCGCGAGCAAAGCAACAGGCGGATGGGCTGATGGACAGTGCCTTTGGGCATGGAACACAGTCCTCCACAAAGCCCCAATTTTATTCAGTCAGATAGACAAGTCAGAAAAAAACAATATGTGGTGTCGCCGAAGTGCTTTTGGGGATGGACACCCCAATGAACAGTTGTTTGGGCATTTTTCAGTGTGGCGTGATGCGTGACAGCATGACGCATCTGGCCTATGCAGCCTATATATGCATGATTTGGACATCTATCGGTTTAAGGTGATTCTCGAATCCTTGTGCAAGAGCAAAAGATCAATGCCTTTTCTGATGCTGAACTCTCCAATCTTTTGTGCCAAAGCTTTTACCAAGGAGGTGGTTGACACCCATTGTTCAGTGACCATATCCTCCAAATTTCAGCGACACAGCGAATGAGTTTTTTCAAAGCTTTCTGAAGAGCACGAACATGACAAAGCATGGAACCTCATAGCTGAGTGCGAAGCTCTTGGTTGCCAGAGGCACAAGAGACTGACCTTAGTTCACCCTTCTTGCGGAACTTCTTCTACTTGCTCGCTCCGCTGGGGGGCCCAGATTCATCCACCTTTGCAGGCCTTGCGTCCTTCCGAAAGACATGCTTGACCGGCTCTTCTTGTTCACCTCATGTTGACATAAGGTGGAACAATTCCAAGATCTTAGTTGATCAAACAGCCATGAGCAAGTCGGGACCAGTTTCGGGGAGCGAGCATTCCACCAGGTATGTTGGTTTGTTTTGCTTTGGCATTGGGTTGTGTTGATGCCTTTACATCCTTTTCACTTTCCCGCAGTGGAACTCAACCAAATGTTACAGCCGTCCTGACCACCAACAGTCTTTAATTTGCCAAGCATTGGGCAGATCTTCTGATGCTTGTGATGCATGGAATATGATTTGCATCATTTGCATTTGCCACATCAAAGTACAAGCAAGACCCTCCAAGCGCTTCTCCAATCTGCAACAAACCAAACAATAACCTAGTTAGTTTGTACGTGCCCATTCAACCTGTCCCCCGCAGCTACGCCCGCCCGGAAATCCGCCGGGAACTGCCCCTGCCCAGGTCCTCAGTCTTTTGGGCCTGGCTTCTCTTCACCAGGCGCGAACAAGTGGGTGCCATGGGCAAAATTGGCTCCTGACAGCCAAAAAACCATCTGCCCCTCTAGTTTAGAGCAGGTTCATGATTGAGTGAACCAGAGGATCCCAGCGTGACCACTGGAGATGACGACCCCCACCAACCCATTGAGTCCGCAAAACCATTCTTTTTTGCGGGAAGATTACAAAAAGGAATAGAATTGTCTCTTTGGCAATGTGGAACTACCAAGTTTCCAAGGCAAAACCGTGTTTTTTGCAACAAGGGGCAGTGGAGCAACAAGGGGATGCTCGCCTGAAAACGCCCACGTGTGGTTCAGGTGGCGATATGGTGATGCTGACCGTTTGCGCGCCCTTGAGGACAAACCCGGAGGCGCACACACCTATGGGCTGGTAGGGCAGGCATGTTTTCTTTGTGCTGACTCGACACGAGTCGGCAAGTCGGTTTAGTTTTTGTGTATACTTGTATCAAGAATTAGTCCAGAGCCTTTGAAGGACTTTGGCTGAGAATCCCTCCAGTCTTTGGCTAGCCCACACGGAGTCAAAATGTAACCATTGGTGGGCAACACTTTTGCGAGTGTGGTTTCGCATTTGCCTCGCAGCACTTCAGCCTTGAAACTACCGATGGAATTCGTTTGTTGGCAGTCTCACGGTTTGCTGGCACTGTTCTGCTCCGGACATCACCTGTCCCCGCCGGCACAGCGTTTGGACCATTTTTTTGGTGGTCCAGGAGTGATTCTTCTGGATTTGCTCGCCTGGAGAATCACCGCCCACCTGGGTCCCTACCAGGCCATTGGGAAACATGGAGGAGACTCAACTGGCTTTTCGTCGACGTTCTCAAACGAAGATGGTTGGACCCGCGCTAGGCGGTGTCGTCATGTCAGTGTCATCCCAGACCTCGTTCGACTCGAGTGGACCTCCGTTTTTCGCGGACCCGACCGGCGGTCTCCCCGTGTTCTGCCCCACCCGACCCGCCAAGATGACCCCGAGACCCGCGAGACGTGGAGGTCCCGAACTTTTGCCACGCCAAGATGCACGAGGAGTCGCTGAAGATGCTCCAGGCCCGGTGGGTCCCCGTCCCATCGGTCCGGTTCGAGCCCTTGGAGTCCTCAGGAGTCGGTGATGTTGGATCAAGAGCGCATGCGCGCCCTCAGCAGGCTGGAGCACGGCGGCTGGAAAACACCTGCATCACGTCGCGTGGTGGGCCGCGTGTGTTGGCTTGTTTGTGTAGGTTTTTGGGTTTTGGTGGGACTGTTCTCAACATCGCCTGGGATCATAGTCAGATAGTTCAGGGAGATGATCGGCAAGCTTGAGCACATGTTGTTGGCAACGCACAGCCCTTGAACCTGTTGGACCAATGGCCTTGCAGGTCTGTATTTCGGGAGGATCCTGAGTTTGGAGACCTGCTTCGTAGAGATCCTCATGTTGAGAATGATTTCCAATACAAACCCGCCCTCTTTATATCTGACTTGGGGTCACCATGTCTTTAGCAACGTAACATTCCCGTATTCGTGGGTCATCATGATCGTAGCACTCAAGACATCTCAAGACCTTTTCCGGCACAAACCATGGCTTTGCCACATATTTGGCTTGAGGATTTCTGAGGTCATGTGCTTTTTGGATGAGTAGGTTCCGTGACAGCTCCTTTTGCACTTCAAGTGACAGGCTTGGCCAGCTCTCCCAAAGGCAAGAATTGGCAGATCGTGGTCTAGCAAGAATGAGTGGCTCATGAGAATTGCCAACACGAGCTCTCTTCAACTGTATTACTCGTTGGTTCTCCAAGTCAGTGATCAATCCTAGTGAAATCAAACTTTTGCATTGGCTCAACATACTCTTGATGGATAGACTTCAAGTACTTGCTTTAGCATTCGATGGTTGCCAGCATTCGATGGGCTGCCACCCCTCGTTTTCCAGGCACCTAGCAGCACAAAGCCTGGCTCCCCTGGGTGCCGAAGCAGGGCCAGGCACGTGAAACCGCCGCACGGATCCGCAAAAGCCGGCTTTTCCTGCGTGGCTTCTCTTCCCAACTCTTTCTACCGTTGCGGCCTCATATGACGTGTCAAGTGATTCGTAGAAGTTGCAGTGGACTTGTGCAGATGAATCATTTCGATGTTGTGCTGGCTTCGCACCACACAGATGCATGGGAGGAATTGGAGGGGGCTTCAGGCTTCAAGGAAAGGCAGAGTTACCTACCACCAATGTCCAGAGTGACCTGGTTTGCCCTTTGGTTAGCACCTGTCTGGCCGCCCGAACGATTTGCCGACCCGAAGGGTTTTTGTCCGCACGCTTTGGCGGGCGATTGCGTCTTATCGGGCGTCGGCCCAGCGGAGGTGCACCGTTGGAGGCGATTCGCCCGTTGCTCTTTGATGCCTTCTACCAGGTGCGGTTGGCTCTTTTGTCCACGCGGAGCGCGACACCAGAGGAGGGGCGAGAACCAAGGGGGGTGAAGCTTTGAAGGAATGAAGTAGCCAAACACCCTACCTGACCTTGCATCGAAAGTCCAAAGATCGGATTTTGCCGAAGCGATGTGAACCGTCTGCGCCCATGGGCACGAAGCAGTGAAAAATGGGCACGAAGTCTTCCACAACACCCTCGCTGTAGCCCGAGAGACCGACCACCCTTGTTGCTCACCTTTCTCGTAAGCCTCCTCCCCTCATGAACGGCTCGACCCTTCGGGACGCACCAGGCCTCGGAGTCTGCCCGGGCACCGGGCAGCAGCACCGAGTCGCACAAGGCGCAGGCGACCAAGATCATCCTGGACGTAGTGTCCGCCTGTGCTCCGGAGGAAGTGGAGAAGCACTGGGCGTGGGCGGGTGGGCTGGCCATGGTGGAAGGTAAAATGAGACATGACTGGACTTTCAGGGTGTAATGCGGTGCCCCTGGTGGGAGCCCCTGGTGCTATCAACCAGTCTCTGAGAGTTTGGTTGAACAATGCCTCAGCATGAGGCCAACTAAAGATCCCTTAAAGCAAAGGCTTCAAACCGATGAGGATCTGAAGTTCTGCTGTCATGTTCTGTGCCTTTTGTGCACCAAAACCAACCCCCCCGCCAAACCATCCTCAAAGGATCTCAAAAGGTGGTACTTCACACCGCCCGGTCACCTTCTCCAGGAGCGGCAGGTACCGCCCTGGGTCTTGAGTGGCCTCGTGAGGGCCAGGGGCGCTCCCTGGCAATCGGGTGCACAAGGAGCCGCACACTGCCCAAACCCCGAGTCCCCAAGACGCGAGCTGCGCCGCCGGTGGCGTTGCCGTTGACCTCTTTGGGGTGCGACGTCGCTGTCCGGGAGTGACACTCTCTGTTCGGGTTTCGCTGACGGACGTCACCAATGATGGGTGGGGTTGCATCGTGAGGGTTAGGATTTCCATCCAAAATGACTCAACAATAGGATTGTGCCACTACTTTCTGTGCGTGTTTTGTGTAAACGAAGGAGAGAGTCACAACTGTAGGTTTTTGATGATGAATGAAGATGGAATAGATATTTGCACTACGCACCTGTTCTTTATAATCGTTGATTGAGTTTTACTTGAGTTCTCTTTCATGAATGTAAAGGAGTTAAAGATCCAGATCAAGTGTGTCACATCTGACGAGTCGCTGGGTGTTTTCCACCAAAAGGGGCAGCGGCATGCCGCAGGAGAGGAGGTGCGTGCCACTGTACTGGTGCAGTTGCTGGAGACTAAGGAGATGTAGAGAAAAGCCGCATGTGAATGATCCTCACAAGACTGAACAAAAGACATCTCTAAACATACTAAGCAAAGCTATTAATGCACCATTCTTCTAAAAAGACTTGTAACATCATATACATACAATATCATACAATTATATCAAAGGTTCGTTCCGGTCTCCAGAAAGTCCAAGGCTTCCGGGTCTCTCTTCGTGGGTCCCGCCTCCAGGCTGCGGACGCCGGCCAATGCGCAGACGGCCGCCTCCTTGCCGGAGGTGGACGCAAAAGACCGGGTGTCGCCACACCGGTGTCAGCAGGGAGAGTTGAGTGGACAACCTCTGTTTGCAAGTGGCCACAAGGTTTATAGTTGGGGGCAGTTGGGGGTCTCTATTTCAACTTCGAGGAAGGGGGGAAGAATCTCTTGAACTTTTAGAAAGCGATCGTACCAGTAGCTGTTGGCAGGAGGTAAAATCGGATCTTTCCCAGAATTGCTCGAAGGAACTCAGGAAAGACCATCGTTTTCATCCCTAAAACGATGGGTTTCCTGTAGATTTTCCGAACCAATTCCGAGGATCTAGGCTCCCGGCTTCTTCAGATCATGAGACCATCCGAGTCACCCGATGTGTTTGACCCGTTGACCCGGAGACAACCTTTGAACTTGGAACCCAATTTAAAAAACACCTGCTCGGCAACTCAACCTGGTCTAGTGACCTAGTGTTTGAGGCACGAAGTGAACTTGGCTTCATTTCTCCCAACTACGAAGGTTGATGTCCGTCAGTTGGTGAAGACTGCTATCGGGCAGAGCAATGTCAGCTGTTTGGGCTTTGAGCTCTTCGCCAGGTCTGTGAATATTTGGCGCGACCAGGCACGGGTGTTGATGCACGAGTCGAGGAATAGACTTGGTTTCCGGTTTGAGAGCCAACAGAAATGAACATAGAAGCAGATTTGATGGTTTGAGTCATTGTCCGTCCTCGCTCCCATCGAGTTCTTCGTAGAGTTCTGCCTTCGCTTTTCACTGACACGGGTGACCCACACGGTAGACTTCTACATAGCTGGTTCAGAAGCCACCCACACGAACCTCCGGCCCCCCGTTTGGGCCACGACCCGCCGTCGTCCGCTCGTTTGGCGCGACGCGGCCGGGGTGGACGGATCCCGCCGATGGCCGTGTCAGGGCTGAAAAGGAAAGAGGACACGGCGTGGCCTTTGAAGGTGCGCCGGGCATGATTGGTGCTTCGATTTCTTCAGGCCCTTTTTCAAAGAAAAACATGAGACCCGCGAAGGCTAGGGTTGAAATTGAAATGAGTGAGGTTTGAGCACTGGTCGCTGCTCGACTTGCCTGGCGATCCCCACCCGCCAGGCCTACCTCATGAGCGGGGAGACTCACGACATCCTTCGGCGTGGCGCGCGACTGGTGGCCAAACAGCGTCGGGGGTCTGAGCGAAGAAGTCGAGCGGACGCCGAAGAAAGCGAATGGCTCCGCTTGGCCATGAAGGAGGAGGAGAACCTGCCAGCACCAATGCCCAGCCATGTGTAGAATCAGTGTACCTGAGGGATTGAGGGTCCAATTTTATAGGCATGGCCCTGCACTGAAACCATCCAAGAAGTGGGTATTGCCCCCCTGCTGTGATGCTCGCTCGATGGGGTAGAATGACACGTACCAGGGTACCCGGCCTGTCACCTCTCAGGGCCATTATCAGACACCTCTCAAGGGGGCCGGAGTATGACGACTGGCAAGTCAGATGTGGATTCAACCGGTTTCTGTTGGCGCTCCGTTTGTTTTGAAACTTTCGATCATCCATTTGTGGTCAGGATCCCGAAGAAAAAAGAACATGTGGTCTAAATAGACTAAGAAGTGTTCCAATATGTTGAAATCCATGTTTCAATGAATTGACTCTGATTGACCTTTCCATGTGTTTTTGGGGTCGACATGTGACACCCACTGTGTCGCTGAGGCCCCGGGGCAGTGGAGCCTCAGCTCAAGAGGCAACGGCCCGGCCAAGACAGGGTAATTTGTCGATTCAATCTATAATAAAAGAGACCAACGCATTGTAAATAGAATGGTTAGGTGGTCGGAAGTGCGTAAATAGCAGTGTTTTGGAGAGATTCAGTGGGAAAAGACTGGTGAAACGCGGTGTTTTTGCAGCCACTTGAGATGAATTGTCGATGTGAATGTGGAAAGACACTGTGATTTACAGTGTTTTTGTGGTTTGTTGATTCAGCGCATTGTGCACAAGCAAAGTATAAGTATGCAAATAGCAGCATGTTGTGACACGATCTGTTTCCATTCTGTGAGTCTAGCTTTGGTTTTGCCTTTTGTTTGGCGCAGAAACGCGAATTTGCAAGTTCGCTCGAGAGAGGCGGTGAGTTAGGTTGCCAAGTGTTGGCATCTAACGACCCATTGCCTATATTGTGTTTGAATTGGAATAAGACATGAGTCTGATGTGTGAGTGGTGTGTTGTGCGTCAATTGGATGTGCGGTCAAGATGGAAGCAAACCCGAGAACAAAACTTCGATGACCTTCTTCTTCAGCTTTCTGATCGAAGCCTTTGACCAGACCCTACAAATCCTCGACGCGGAGTCTTGTCCAGATCTTGTCCAGAGCCTTCATCGAACCAAGGCCAAGCAAAAGAATTAAGCAGCGGCCCTATGCACACAATAACCAATAACCACCCAACCTGGCCCACCAACCAGTGGCATAAGCCCAGCTTAACTGCACCACTGCTTGGGCTTGGTTATTGGAGCTTTCTTACCAGGATGAGGGTGGCGCTGCTTGTGTCCACATTTCCCCTGCCTTCGAACTTCACATACCGCTCGAACAAAACTGCCAACCTCCCACATCTATGGTGAAAGTTCATCTACCCTCTAGAACCAACATCTGAATTTGGCTGCCATTCCAACATTCAGCAGTAAACCCTGTCCAACCTGGCTTCAAGCCCCAGGTCTTGCATGTGGCTTGACAAACAATCCCAAAAACGAAGCTCTTTTCTCCTTGGGACTCCTGATTTTTTCTTTCGCAACATATCTTTCAGAGACATTGCCATGGCATAAAAGCACAATTTAAAATATCTTCGAAACAAGGAGAGTCACATATATATATATATATATATCTTTATGCGTCAGTTGGGCTGCTGACATTCTATACACACGCGAAAAGCAGAGTTATTGACAGATTGTTTCAACAAGTGGAGGCCACCTGAGGTATCCCACCAAATCGTGTCAGCACTACGCCAGACTGCTACCCTACCCTTGCACCTGCTCGCAGACACAATGAACCGACGACGTGCCTACCACAGGTTGTGAATCATGGAGATACGGTTGCAACTGGTAGTAGGTGTATGTGTCATTGAAAGATTGTATGCGTAGATGTGATTGGAACTGAATCTTGGTTTCACCCTCTAGAACCGTTGGCCAGACCTCTGTGCCAGGTCTTTCCTCTTGAAACCCATGAGAACCGGCCGCTGTTGGCTGCTGGCAGGGACCGAGACACGCCGAACTTGCAGATCAAGCGGGACGTGCGGAACGCTTGGAGCACCATCCTTCTGACGGCAGGCACCGGGTCACCGGGGTTTTCATCGTCTTTCTCGGCAGCTGCCGACACGAACGGCGCGGACACGTTGCGGCGCGAGCACGGAAGTTGGATCACGGAAGCCGAAAAGGGTTCTTGCAGCGAGCGGCCTGTTGCTAGTCAGTAGGCGTTCTAGGGGATAGCCAGCCATGTTGTTTTCGCTATATATCCCAATCTGTTGGCAGACGACACTCAAGTCCCAGCAGGACTACTTTTTGAGGAAACGCAGCAACACTTGTTCTCTTCCTCCAAGCCCTCGTGTGGCACTGATGACATTCTAGGAGTTCCCACACGGACGCACGACCTGAGGGTGGGCTGCCATGCAGCACTTCAGTGGGGTCTACACCATCCAGGCTGAGACTGGGGGGCTGCTGGTTATAGGTGGTGTTCCATCAAACATGCGGTACAAGACATTTTCCGTTTACAAGGTCTGTCCCTTGTCGCCCATATTGCAGGTTGTGGGGCGGTATGGTGGTATGGGGTGGTTTTGGAGATGAGGAATGAAAGGGTGGTTCAGGAACAGGTGAAGTTTGCAATTGTTTGTGCATGAGATTTGGTTGAGTTCCATGCTGCTGGGCAGCTGCATGGCTGCAGATTGGCCCTCTGCGGGGGATCGTTTTGAGGAACCCTACTCCCAAAAGGACTTCACCTCGCAAACCAGAAACTGCTGGGTAAAGATCTGCTGAGCAAGCCTTCGCTTGTCCCCAAAGAAGTAGAAACGGTTTCCAACCCAATTCAGTTGAAGTTCACTGGTTGTTGCTGTAGATCCAATAATTCTCACGTGATTAATTTTTCTTTTTGTGACCAACACAGTTTCTTTTGCACCTGGCAGATGGCCGCAGGCCACTCTTCAGATGGCCGCAGGGGTTGCTGGAGCTCTTGGAGGCTGAGCGGAGCCGGAGAAATGGAGACATGGATGCCGAGAAGGACAGCAGTAGAACATGAACAGAATGGACTACCCCTTGAGGTCAAACGATCGCTTGATGGTTCGCCCTCACCCTCACCCTTTGGGCAACAAAAACCTCTCAGTAGGTCCCTCCGATCCCTCAGCTTATGGCCCTTATGGCCCGGAACGGCCACCAGAGGCGCCACGTAAAACCTGCGACCCTTCCAAGCCTTCCACCGACCGGAACCCGGGCGTCCAGGCACCGTGGTGCTGGAAACGCTCTGGCGCTTGGAGGAGCTGGCCATCGAATCCGAGTGGTACTGGAAGGCGGGAGCTGACGACCGGTACCGGTCAGACGACCGGCAGTGACGCCACGGCGCTGTCGCGGTTGTTGAGAAACCTCCTTTTTTTTTGGTTTCTTCTTTTTTATGTTTTCCGGAGGGGTGGGGATGTGGTCAAGAGCTGCACATATTTGTAGTGAGATATTTTTTGTTCTTAATGAGAAGGACAAACTGCTAGAAGACTTGTAGTAGAGGAAGTTCTCATCTTGCAAACCTAAGGACCTACCTGGCAGGCCTGTATTAAAGAGGATTACTGGAATCATTCTTTTGTTGTAAGTGGAGTCAAAGGAGTGGATTGCAGCAGTGATTCTGAGTTTGTTGTAACATGTCCCTGCTATGTGACGGTGTAGATGTGAGGGGGTATATAAGTGCTTGGAACTTGATTTGCGTGGCATTGGCATCCTGTTCTCTCGCTCTGAGAAAGATCGAAGAGTTGCTCACCACTTGAGAGACCTGACAAACCTTTCTGAAAAAACGGTGGCCCGTGAAACTGCATCAATGCAGAGTGAAAAGCACCGCCTTCAAAGATTTCTTCTTGTTTTGCCCCCCATCGAGATGGGATCAGGATCCCTTTGGCACAGTTCCCGCCTCCGCCGTGATGGTCTTGGCCAACTGCGGCGCTTTGGCTTGGGTGCCCCGGCCACATCAGGGGACACCTGCGTGGACAGGGAAGAAGCGACGGTCCGTCCCTGCTTCGTCCGAACCCGAACTTCTGACATTCCTTGACAAGGCCTTGCCGCAATTTTTTCGTTTCTCGGACAGTGGAGGGCACCGAAAGATTCGTGAAAAGATCGCAGTGTCTGAATGGGGCGCACCTATGCTTTTTTCTGCAGAACACTCTGAGGCCCGCACGAGAACTCAAGGGCAAAACAAAGATGCAATCGCGAGTGCGAGGATCATGGATATTTTTGTAAAAACACAGGGCACACACACACAGAGAGGGCACCTACGAATGTTTTCAACGTCTATATAATTCGATCGAGTTCTTACATATGGGTGTCAGCATAGAGCTTCAAATTACCATAGATGGACAAAATATTCAACCCTCCAAACCAGCTGGACCCCTTCCACCCCTTCCACCCCAATGTTAGCAATCCTGCCAGAGTGCGTGGGCGAATGGACGAAACAAACCCTAACACAAATTGAAAGAAGTTGCTTTCAATGTAACATTGAAGTTTGGGGTTAAGGGGTTCGTGACTGCTCCCTTGGTCAGGGGTTCAAAACATTTTGTCCATCTACTGAGTAATCTACTGTAGCATTTGCAAGAAGAAACCAAACACGAACAAGAGAAGAAGGGTTGAAAGAACCACAAAACCCAGTGAGAGTGAGTCTAAACTCGCCTAAAGGTCCTTACGAGATCTTACTGTAAATAAAATGAAACCAACGACTCCCGACTCCGTGGGCGTCTTGCTCCGTCGGGTTGGCAGGTCTGAGGTCGTCACTGGGCGACGCGAAGGTCGGTCGTCCGACCCGGGTCGGCGTTTTTGGCGCTCAGTGAAGAAACAACCAGCCGAGGACAAACCACTTGTTTCCACAAACTTCTAGTTTCTGCACTGTTACCATGTTCGTTCATAGATGTAGAAAGCATGAAAGACTCTCAAATTTGACCTCGTCAAGCCAGACATTTGCCGCGCCCAAGGCTGTGCGCCATTCCTGCATCGTGCCATTCCTGATTTGCAGACTCTTCAAGGACGATTACTTCGATGCCCATCGAACATTTGAGTGAGGACCCAGTGAGGGGCGGGAAATCAAAAAGGAGCGGCTTGAGCTGGGTTTTGGTGTCTTGAATCAATCGAACGCCGGGTTTGGTCCACAGCACCTGCCAAAGCCACCAAGCGAAATCCGTGTCCAACGGCGGGCGGTTGGTTGGTCTTGCTCATCCTTTGCTACGACTTGAAGCGATGCTGTCCTGTCTGCAGTTCTTGGCCGCAAGCAGCGCCACCTTGGGCTGTCTTGTTGTCCTCCATCATCTCAAGACGCTCTACTGCCCGGTGGCTACTGGTTACGAGATGGAGCTTGTACCACTCTTTCAAGGGAGTTGCTGCTTGCTTCTCCGGAATGCCGTCGCTGGCCTTTCAGACCCTTCGCTGTTCCACAGGCCTTCACGTGGACAGTCCCATGTTTGGAACTAAATGGTTTGTTGAAGAACACCCTCATGAATGTAGAAGAGATTTGTAGGATACAGGTTTATTATTACTATTATTGTTATTATATATATATATTATTGTTATTCTTATTTTTTTTAAATTAAAGGCCTTCTATTTTTTCCGGTCAAGCCTGGTTCGGAACTGAGCCTACCAAGCTCGAAGCTGTGACAGCTTCCGCGCACACGCTTCCCAAAACGACAGAACTCCAAACACCACGAGCAACGTGTGACCAGGACGACGTCCACAACCCCGAGCCGGACCTCCCAACATCGCCAGCTGGCATCACCGTTCGGTCTTGGGCAACCAGGACGACCCCCTTTTCGTTGGCAGATGTCTGCGGTCAACGGTCAAAGGGTCTTCGCCGCTGGCTGCCTCCTCCCCGTCTGCGACCGAAAGTTCCAAATGCTTCGAAGGTCCCATGCCTGGTTGATCATCCATGATCATCCCAGGTTTTCCGCACCAAAAACGTCTGGTTTGCTCTCTCGCGCCTCCCAACCCGCCCCGCCCCGAAACGCCTCCTTCCGTTCCGACGGCCCGACTGCGCCCACAACGACGCAGAAGGTGTCGCCTTGGTGTGGAGCTGTCTGGCGCTGGTTTGCAGGCCTCCAGTCGACTCCATTTTTGGTCGAAGATGCAGAAGTGTGTGTATTGTGGCCGTGTGCAAGACCTGCGGCCCCCAATCGGCAGCTGCAGCTTTGCCTCCAATGCGCAACTCCAGTGGTTGCTCCACCCCTCCAGAAAGGCCAGCAACAACCGCAGCGAAAGGCAAGCAGCCACAACTGAGACTCATAAAGGTTTTGTTCTTTGTGCATGTGAAGGATGCGTCTTCCGCAGCTTGGCATCAGCGTGTTGTCATGCGTTTGGTTTCTGTGCCAGGTATATAAGAGAGTGGCTCACTCGTTGAGTGCTGTGGGCAACTTGTACTGCTGCACCGTGACTGATACATCCAATGACCATGACACTTAACCAACATGACTGGGACACGCATGACATGACCAACATTGACACGGTCAACACATGACTGGGGACACCATCAAGGAGACATCCAATGACCATGACCCTGGCACTGTCAGAACTGCGACACATCGTGCCCACCGATGACGGGACACAGTGACTGACCACCAAGAAACAATTCGTTCATGACAGCATCTAAAATTCATGTGTAATCAATTAATTATGCCTTCCGTATTAGCTATATAGATGCACCTGGTATTCGCAGACGTACTTTTTGGAACCAATGCAGCCAGCCTGCACAGGCACACACACAATACCCACACCCACAAAGACTGCGTGAGGCCACGAGTTGTGTCCGTGGTCATCCTCCTTGGACAAGGGAGTCTCCACATAGTTTGCTGCCGTGACCGGTGTCTTCTAGTTTGCTTTCCTTTTGGGAAGCGACTTCTAACATTTTGTTCGTCGCGCAGAACATGTCCGTTTTTATAGCGGCGCCGTTGCGTGATTCGCTTCGAGTCTTCGAGTGCCTTCAAGTCTTCAAGGTGCATCTCCAGTAAGACCCGAACTCCGCGCTGCCAACATCGTGCTGTTTGATCCGTCTTCGATGGAACGAAGACCTGCCGGTGAGGATGTCCCCATTGAGACGGATGCCTCCATGATGTCCTCGCCGTCGCCGCGGCGCCGCGTCTCTTGTCTCCCACCGGCGGGGAACGCAACGGCACCGGCGCCGTTGCCGCGACGTGTGCGACGACGGTGGCGATCCTTGGTCGACGCGGAGTCAAAAGGGATCCTCCACAGCATCTCCTCAGCATCTCCTTTGGTGCTGATTGGGCGTGTTTTGAGGTGGCTTCGCTCAGTTCAGGCCTGTTCCATGACCTGAGTTCCAACACTTTCCGGTGGCTTAAATGAATTAGCCTTTACCGAACCAACTAAGGATGTTACACTACAAAAACCAGTTCAACCATTTTTTGAATGGTCTTGGAAGTCTAGGGGGCACGAGAAAAGGACACTTTAGCAATGTGCTGGTGAGGCCAGGGCTGGAGGCCAGGACGGAACAGCAGCAGCAGCCCCATCGGCCAAGCTATAGAAAACGCCAATGACTTTCCTCTATCTCTATGAAATGGATTTTGGACCCTCATTTTATAGAGAGTATATACATGGTTTTGGATTATCCAATATCCAAATATCATTGGAAATCATTTTGAAAAGGAGATTATGTATGTGGGATGGTGTCGCCAAGGAACACTTTACAGACCCCGGTACATGCGTATCATGATGTTTAGAAGGGCATTTTAAAGAAACAATATGTATCTGGATGCTTCTAGGCTCTTTCCTCTCCAGTTTTTTCTAGGTTCTCTATAGAATGCCTTGCCAGGGTGTCGGTGTCAAGGATTGGATTTGCCCTGTTTTGCGTGATCTTTGTTCTATATATCATGGAGGTGATTATATATACACATAGGATTTTGAATGTCAGGACCCAGCCCTCCTCACTTTATAGCGTTCATTTTATAGAGTCAATATGTTTGTGTCTGCTTGTCTTTTTGCAATCGCTAGTGGCATCCTATAGAGAACGCCTAGTGCACCATTTTATAGGCATTATATCCCTAGCCCCCTCATTTTATAGACGCAACTTCTCCAGAAAACCTGGAAAGACATCCGGCCCATCATTCACGACAACAAGTGCGCTTCTTTGCAAGGCCATGTCAATTTCCAATGTCATATCCAGCATAACACCACGGCCCACGTGCTGCAGCGAGATGTGCCCACATGCGTGCAAGGATAACGCCGCAACAAAAAAAACCAGGGAACCTGCTCCGGAGCCTGCCAGCACATGAGCACGACATCTTGACCTCACGTCAAGATCTCACCATGTCACACGTTTGGGTGATTGTGCTAGCATGTCAAATTCATGCATGACAACATGCCGGAATGATGGCAACATGTCGACACTAGACAGCGACGATGTCGACATGACAACATGACAGTGTGCTGGCATCACAGCATGTCAGCATATTTCATCCGCGGCTAGCTCCCAGAACCGGCCTTGGACCCCAACTCTTGAAATATGCGAAAAGAAGTGCTGCCGAATGTCGTAAGCTGCCGCAAAGAAAAGTGTATGCACCAACAGGAACACAAACATCGTTGACATTGTTGCGCCTGGGGCTTCGTGTCCGCCATGACGTGGCCAAACATAATGATCCGCTCCGCTGTTCTTGCTGCAGTTTCGTGGACGACGTGCTTGTTTCTGACCATTGTGTTCGCGACTTGTTTCACTACTTGGGCCTCCTGGGCCGTCTCACTTCATTTTTGGTGTCACCCCCGCTTTCACCCCGACTCGCTGTGGCTTTGCCTGTGGGAGGAATCAAAAATCACTACGCACCGTGGACAAGCACAATTTTCCAACTTTCCCTTCCCAATCGCGGTCTCGCTTCGGCTCTTGCCAATCATATCATTCCAAATGCCACCTCCATCCACTCTCTTTCCACTACGAGTTGGCGCAGGACCACAGTGCTGAACCACAAACTGCGTTTGTCCAGTTGGCCCTGAAGCCGCCATACCGGGCACCAATTTTGGCCAGCCAACACACTGGAGAATGGGGACATGCAAGCAAACACACTAGACGATGCGAATTTTGATCCATGTTGTGAAGCGCGTGCGCCTGCGTGCGGGGTGCCGGCATGACAATCCATGGTGGTCCGTGTGTCCATTCCCGGATGTGCCCCCGCGCCCAACCAGAGAGTAGTTTTTTTTAGCAGTCTTGTTTTTCCACCATTTTCCAGCTTTGTGTGGTGTTTTCCAGCTTCGGGTGGTGTTGCCCACCTTGAACACAGATGTTTGTCACCATGTGCAGGCCTAAACATAATGGCCTCTTGATGCGGTGAGCAGGCGCGTTTTCGCGTGGCCGAGGCAAACACAAAAGATCAAATCCAGGAGGGGGAAAAGGTGTGCGCACGAAGGAAGGAGGAGAGGAACAAACACTTGTGGGCATTGTTGTTTGCAGGGTAGGCGCGCCAAACTGAAGCAAAGGAATGAGGACAGAACTGTTGGTAAAGCTGACAGCAGTGACAAAGGGAACTACCAAAACCGCAGTTGCAGCAGAAGCAGCATTGCCCCTCATGGCTGGCGGATCAGGACGGACAGGTGCCCGTTCGAGCAGTGCAAAACTGTCAGAACTGCAGGCAGCTTCAAAATCTTTTCAAGATGCTACAGCCGTTCAGACCCGCATAGCTTCATGACGTGGAAATTCATTTTCACATCAGGGTTGGGTGTTGGAGAATAAAAGAACCAGGCAATCCTAGACAAGGTGGAGCAATTTGACAGCATCCTGTCGGCGTACTTTCCCTCAGCGTCAAGTTGTTTTCCACCTTGATTACCTACATGCTATGCAGCCCGATGTGTTGTTCAAGGAGCTCACGACGTTCTGGACGGAAACTCCGGCGATTGGGGTCGGCAGGGTTGTTTTGAGTGCAATTGCAAGCGGCTTTGAACCACAGTTTCCGCATTGCAGTTTGTTCGACAAAAATCTCGGCAGAGGCCCCCCGTGCACCGAAACGTAAATTTTTTTCCAAGGCCAAAAACAATTCTAGTGTGGAATTACCATGGACGAGGAAAGCCTTGGTTCTTCCTTGGACCGTTGCACCTTTGTCGAAGCCATGGACTCTTGGCGCAACAATGCACAAAGCAGAAATACATTTGTTTGCTTGTCTAATGTTGAGGCATGTTCCCGCAGGTCTCCGCACCGCTGCCGCTGCCGGGTGGCGCCGCCGCTGGTGGGACCTCCTCGGCGTCGCCATCCAGCGCACCTTGTGCCCCACGGTGCTGGGGGACGACTGGCGCGCGCCGCACTGCCCCAATGGCTCCGCAGAACTCCCCCTCGGGGAGCTCCTTGCGCTTGCTGGGGCCCCCGCGCCTAGTCGACTACCTCTGCGGCCGTGAGCCGGGAATGCCTGGCTGTACATAGCGTGGACGCTGCTTATGCCGGAAGGGGAAAAAACACCCAACACCACAACCAACAACACGATCACACGTATGAAAACTGCGAAACTGTAGGGGTTTGATGTTTCACGGTGTTTGATGATGACGGATATGTTGATCCATTATGAGGCTATGTTGAACACACACACAAAACACCGCGCCATATCATGGACGGACCTCAGAAGAACAATTGAAAGAAACTGAGGGGGAGAACCTGAGTGAGTGGACGAAGATGAAGCAGCATTGTGGGGCAAAGGCTTTTCAGATGTTCCAGAATGGTGAATTTTCAGATAGTGATGGCCCAGCGCCATGGAATCAATTTTCAGTACCATGGCCACGTCTTAATGGAGCCGGAAGAGGAGGAAAAGTGACAGAATAGAAAAGAAAAGAACAGGCCACCGGAGACTAGAGAAGAAAATTCATCAGCTGGATGGAACGAAACAAGTGAAGTGAACACAAACATCGAAGGCAACACACAAACGGCTGCGTGCCAAGAAGGTGTGCCGGAGAATTTCTAGTGTACTCCAGCATCGTGGAAGTTGATGTACGATTTTGGATGCTCTAGCGTTCCGGGAGGGGAGAGGCAGTCCACAGAATGGCATGATGATTGGGAAATGCCTACAGGGCGACCAGACGCTGAAGTGGTTCAGGCGGGCAAAAGCTTCAGACAGCACATAAGGATTTTGGAAGGTGAAGTGAACAATTTCCAGAAGCGACGGCTCAGTTAACACATGGGGTTACTTGTATCATTCTGTGAAGATGTTCCAGGCAGATGATCCCAAAGCATGCATGGCAGCGCTGGTATTTTTTGACAATGGTGTGAAGCCGGCCGATTGGCAAACTGCTTGGAGAGAAGTGGCAGAGTTTGAGTGTGAATGTGAAGCAGATGACGCTGCATCACGTGTGGCATCATGCGGGATCCACCTCCGGATGGCTCAGCTGTCCGGATTGAAACGCTTCAACAAAACCAAAATCTCGAAGATATATGCAGATGAAGAAAACGACGGCTGAGAGATGCATTTTTTGAGTGGACCAAAAAAAGAGAACCAGTTCGAAGGCGGGTGACAACCTTGAGCACAGATGGCCCGAGATGTGGTGAGAATACGCGTGCTCGCGTTTTGTGAGTGTTCGTTGGTGTGCGGCCCCTGGTTTTCCCACTCCACCAGCTGGTCTGCGTGCGGGGGCCCCGGGCCCCTCCGCCCTTGTGAGGATGGAGGGTTGGCGCGGCCGTCGCTGCGCAGCGCACCGGTCTCCCTGCCCCGCGTCCTCACGGCGGAGGGGGGGGGCCCCAGACCACTGCGGGGAGCCTTCCCACCCCTCCCAAAAAGAAAGCAAAACAGCAAGTCAAAAAATATGTAAAATCATGCAAAATTTGTCGTTTAGCGCCCTGACCCTGAAAGGCCTTAGTGCATTTGACCTTTGGGCCTGGGACGGCGTTGTTCGTTTAACATGTTTTCATGTTACGTTGCTTGTTGCGATCGGCGCCGATGGACGAATTGTATGCAATGCCGTGCTCCCGGCTCAAGCATTTGGGCAGAGCTGCATCGTTGAGCGATGCCTTCTGCCAATTTCTTTCTGATGTCGGTAGCGTGACCACAAACCGCTGTGCCGCCCCAGCAGTAGGGTGCCCAGATTTGGGCAATTTTGTTGGCGGGCGACCTGCCAGGCGGGGGTGTTGGCGCCGGCTTCGCCAAGGAGACTTTGCAGGGTGCCCCAAGTGGCGGCATCGTGGGCGGCAGCGAAGGTCGCGGACGCAGCGGGGGGCAGGGTGCGCAGGAGATGGTGCGCACGGGGAGCGGCGCAGAAGGAAAGTAGGAGCCAGGCGCTCTGAAGGTCCGGCAGTGCGGCGATCTCCTGCAGGAGGTGGGCATGAGACAGGTGAGTGTCCCGGGCCGTCTCTGCCACGAACTCGGGCGATCCGATGGGCGAACCTAGGGCGATGAACCCCCGCTGGGCCGGCGGCAGGTCGCCGCGCCAAACGTCGGGCCCAAGCTCCGCGATCCCTGGCGGCGCGCACCCGCCGGCGCCGCTGTAGACCCGCGTCTTTCCGAGGTTGGAGGCGACCCCGGCCAGACGTTCGACATTGTTGGTCACCAGGTCAAAGGCTGCACGGGCGCGAGCCGGCTGCGTGACAATGTACAAGTCATCAAGATAGGCTGCAAGGACGTCGCCTGGGGCCAAGTGGGCCGCGGAAGCCTCCAGCGCGGCGTGTTGCCCTAGGGAGAACAGGGCCGGCGCAAGCGCGTCTCTTTGTTCACATCCTTCAGCTTGGCGGATGTGGTGGCACGCGCCAGAATCGTCCCACCAGAGGTACGTGCTCGTGTGTGCATAGAAGGAGCGCACGAACGGGACGAGGCGAGGAGCGACCTGCAGGAGTTTGTCCAGGAAGGCGGAACGGGAGACGCAGTCATACGCGCTGCGGCCATCGAGAGAAATGATGACGGCCGAGGGGTCGAGCTCAGAGGCAACTCGCAATGTGGAGGCGAGGCAGTCGGTGCCGGCTCGGGTTTGGAGCGCGAATTGGAAGGGCCGGGTAGCGGCGTCGAAAACCGCGGCATGGAGGCTTGCGAGAGTGCGCGAGACAAGGCGGCGCAGCACATCCCCCGTGGCGATGCCGCGGACCCCGCCGTTTGGTTTCGCGAGCGCGGTGAGGCGAGCCAAAGCGAGGGCAGACAGGACTTCGGGCGGGGCCGCGCCGTTGGCCAATGCAGTGGCGGCCCGGGCAAAGAGCTCGAGTGCGTCCTCATCATCAAGAAGGACTTTGTAGTGTTCGGCGGTGGCGCCAGACAGGCCTGCGGCCGAGCCACGTTTGCTGGTGCGAAGGGCGTCAGCGAGGTCATGCGCAGAGAGAGGGAGTGGAACTTGTGGCTGGTAGTCAAGGACGGCCTGGGAAACGGGCGAGCGCGGGGCTGGCGGACGGCGCTCCGGGTCGGACAGCGCAGCTAAGGTGGCAGCGGTGCCTGGCGCCTGCGGGGAAGAAGTCAGGAGTTGGCGCGCGCGGGAGAGTTCACCGCGGCGGACTTGGGCGACAGCGCGGGCGCGCAACGCGTCGGGCGACGGCGGAGCGGCGCGGGCAGGCGCGGGACCCCGGGCATCGTCGAGGAGGCGTTCCCAACGGCCTGCCTCAAAAGCGGCGAGGCGCTGTAACAGGAGTTCCCGGCCGGCAGGGCCAGAGGCGGCCGTAGGCCGAAGGAGGAGCCGGGGGGTCAACAGGAAGAGTTTCCAAGCGCGGCATTGTTGCTGCGGGGTGGCGCGAGGCGCGGCCAACGCCCGCAGGCTGATGAGAAAGGCGTGTCTCAGCCCAGGGGCCAGGAATCGGGGCACAGACTGCATGGTGCGGACGGGGCGCTCGAACTCGGCGGCGAGGTCGACGTCATCGAGGAAGCGCCCGGAGCCCGGGCGTAGGGTAGCAGGGGGGCTGGAGGCCTCGGGCGGGCAAGGGACCTCGTCGGCGGACGCCGAAGCCTCGGTGTCGGAGATGGTTTCGGCAGGGGGCACCGGCGGGGGGGGCGGCGGGCGCAGCAGGCAGAGCGGCCGCGGTAGGGCCCTGATCCCCTAACGCCGTGCCGGGAGGGCCTGCCAGGCGGAAGGAGTCGGTGAGGCGG